GCTGATAAGTTACTCCTTGAGGATATTTTTGAGTTAACAGGGTATTTTCCTGCATACCATACTAAAATATTACTTTAAATATATAGCTCATTTTTTTAAAAGCCATGAAATAAAAACATATATTCACAGTGTTGGGTGTGAAGCATATATTTGTAGACAAAAATAGTAAATGAGTTACCTTAATGCCCAGTGCCTAGTGAACTGTAAAATTCTCAGAGTCTTTCCTGAATATCTTTTCAGCTCTAAGACAATTTACTTTGCTCAAAGCTAGTGAGTTGTGAAAATTATACTTGCTATCTTCCTGGAGCAAGTACTTATTTGGGGAGCTAACACTTAATATGTGTAGAGTCACACCTGCCAGAATGACCCTCTGAAACTCATACCACCCTAGGACAGTGTATTTGAAAGCCTTCCAGAGTTTGGCCAAGGATCCCTTCAATCATGGGAATGACAATGTGTTTGGATAAGAGGGCTGATGGTCTTGCTCACCCCTTCTGGTCTTCCCTCCTTTTCTCTCATCTTAAACCTACGTCCTTGAAAAAGCAGCAGCTGTTATAGGGGAGTGGGACCTGACAGGTATTTTCCGTCTGTTATTTCTGGGGAGGGGGGGTAGAGATTTAAAAGCCATTGTCACTAAAGAAACATATGGAACATGGCCCTGTTTCTATCATAATCAAAGAAAAGGAAAAAAGGTCAGCTATTGAGGACACGGTAATTAAAAATAAAAGCTGAAACAATAGCTTTGGACAAATATGATGTTGTGACTGAACATCCTGCTTTACAGACAATCCGTGCTGAATGGGATAGTAATGAAAGGTCCCAAATCAGGCACAATACTGAGCAAAGGGTGCCACTCCAGCTGGGATAGTCCAAGTCTGCCTCCAGAGGGCAGGCTGGAGTGAGGAGAGGAAGGAAAACAGTGTTGACACAAAGATCCTACCATAGCGTTTTCACAGTAGCTTACCATAGGGAAGTGGAAGACAGCTTCCAAGAAATATCTTGCTCTCTGGGTGGGCCAGCCCAGCACCACACATAACTTTATTGCATAGGGCTGCAAAGTTCAAAGGAAGCTCTGGGAAAGAGGAACTGTGGCTCAGTGCTGAGCCCAATCTGCTGCACCACACATGGCTAAAGTACACACTATCAGTAATCAAGGGAAGGACCTCCCTGAAGCACAAATGGCAGCAGGGGTACCCTTCTATAAATATCCTGAGAAATATCAGAGTTTCCCTTTTCAGTTGCCTGAGTGACTCCACCTCCTTTGATAGCTTGCAAATGTTCCCTTGGTTTTAGTAGTTACCACCATCGCATGCACTGTAGATGAAAAACAAGTGCATGGGAAAAGGGAGCTAAGCACAATAGGCACAGGTTGAATTGCATGTGGTAGGAGCTGTTTTGGGGTTGTGGCTATGTCCCTTCCCTTTTTTTCATCCTCCCAATCCCTTTCCTGTTTCAGTTATGTTCTGATTTCCTACACTTAGTCAGAGCAACCTAATGCCAACTCCAGCTCTCAGCCCCAGGGAATTAAAACCATACCCAGAAGCTGATAAAGGACAGTTTTAATCTGGCCCTTTTTCTTTTGCTCCAGACAGCAGGGAAGCAGAATCCTGCAAGAGCTCCCAAGCTGATTCGATACCACCTCAAAACCTTGCTGATGTTCTAGTGATCTTCGTGGGGCTGCATATTCCATTCCAAGGTCTGGATCTGGTTGATGATGACCACAGTCTATGGGAGAATTGGCCAGATAGATACCTTTCCACTGATCATTACAAAATCTGGTTTAGAGTTCAGCAGCATTCTGTGAATTCAAACGTATTTAAAATGATGCAAAGCACCAATAGAGCATGAAATACAAAACAGGTTTGGCTAAAGACATACTTGAGTTCTTTAGGTAAAGAAACAATATGGAGCTCCACTGGAGCTAGCATCTTTGTTCCATTATTTAAAGACAGCTAGGAAAATTCAGTAACTACATTGTGTCTACAGTATCAAATTTAAATCAGACAGCTCACATGATAGAAAAACGAAAAAAAAAACCCAACAGATTATCTGTGATCTATTGATAGATCAATTATGATTTGTTCCTTGAATGAGACTACAAGCTAGGAGACCCACTGCTAAACATTTTAATTTGCCATTCCAATTATTCTTTCTGCCTATGTGCAAATCAGACATGCTAGTTCACTGATGGAACAGCTCTAGGTAGCTCTTTATCTACCATGAATAAGGTACCAGGGAATGAGGAATCACACAGGCTGTGTGATCTTGGGCAAGTCACCTACCCTTTTTGGATGTCAGTTTTCCAATTTCTAAAATGAATCTAATGAAACCTACCCCTTCTGTGAGGATTGGACATCTGACAGATAGTAAAGTGTAAGCCCTAGATGCAATTTTTCAACGATTCTTCCATTTCTTTCTCACCAGTTCCTTTTGCTTCTGCTGTCTCTGGTGGATATGCTAATTCACAG